AAAAAAAAACAAAAAAAGCAACATTTTATTTATCTAATATATTAGATTTAATGGGAAAGGACATTTAATTTTACTGTAAAATATTGTTAAAATATTAATATTGTGGGAAAAAGCATGAATTACCATACAACGTATTGTGAAAATCTACATATAAACTATAAATTATAATGTTGTAATGCCAAATTTTATTTAAAACAATTTTAGGTTTGTCTTTTATTTCTCATTTACTTACACAATGCAGTAGAGAATATTTTACAATGGGCCATTTATCGGTTTTCAGGCTATAATATAAAAACAATTTAAGAATTTTAATATCAGTGCATCTCTAATGTTTTTAACTTAGTTTTTTGTCATGTGAGTTAATATAAGTTTGTATATTATAGTTTGTATATATAGTTATATAGTATATATAGTTGTATATATATATTATAGTTATAGTATATTAAAGGGGTCATATGATGCGATTTAAATTTTTCCTTTCTCTTTGGAGTGTTACAAGCTCTTGGTGCATAAAGAAGATCTGTAAAGTTGCAAAGACTAAAGTCTCAAATCCAAAGAGATATTCTTTATAAAAGTTAAGAGTCAGCCACGCCTACCTAAAACTGCTCGTTCTAACACGCCCCCACATACCTATGTCGTTCTGTGGGAAGATTTGCATAATGCCGCCCAAACGTTCACACAAAGAAAGAAGGCGTAACTTTTATTCTCACTGTAGTATTGTTGTTGCCGCCGCCATGTCGTGGAGACGCTGTGTGATTCGTTGTGAAAGCTAAACTACTTTGTTTGGTCTTCCAAGAAAGGACGATATCTGCTTCGTCATGCCTACAGCTGATCCGTGCTGGTCGCTGAGGAAATACATCAATTTTGCGCTGTGGATCGCCGGATCGGCTTTCACCATGAACGAAGCGGAGTCCAGGCCAGAGTCATCGAAATCTCTGACCGTGCCGTTCTCAAGCCCCCGGCCTCTGCTCACTGTAGGCCACCGCCACTCACTCTAGGCCGCCGTGTGTGATGCTGTTTCGTTGTGAAAGCGAAACTTCTTTGTTTGGCCTTCCAAAAATGGACACGACTAGAAATCAGTGGTTAAGTTGTATTTACAACACGGTTCCAGAACACTTCAACCTAAATATTCAGATGTGTCCAGCGCATTTTATGGAGTACCGTTTCCTGATCCTGGGAGAGTAGACCACAATGCCGGCTGTTCTGACTCACAGACTGTAAGTAAGTTTTCATATTTAAAGGATTTGCCACTGATGATTCAAACGCGAATTTTGAGCAGTGTTGTGAAGGGCGTAACATTTCCGTCTCTCGCTTGAGGTATTCGGCCAATCACAACGCACTGGATAGCTGGCCAATCAGAGCACACCTCGCTTTTCAGACCAATGAGCTTTGTAAAAATCGAGGGGGTTCTTTAACCTTAAACCGCATAAACATATTTCATTACACCAAATACACAAAATAATGTTCTTTTTAGCAGCATCATATGACCCCTTTAAGCTTGTAATATAAGTTTAATATTAGTTTGTATTATAATTTTAACAGAACCTTTTTGTTTTTACCATTACATTAACAGGATTTTTTAATATAATTTTTAACAGGATGAACTCAGTTAACATCGATTATGTGACATGAAGTAACTACCTTATAGTTGCAATGAAACAGATGGAGCGACATATAATATTTTTTTTTCGTATTTTGACACATCAAGTGTAACAGACTGTCGTAAAAGAAGAAAAATGTAGGGCAGGGACTTGGCTGTATTCATCAGTTGTTGATTAGATTTTGAGATGTGGGCACTGCACTCATATACAGTCGATTTTAAGAAAAGTGTGAAGTTTTAAGCCTTCTACACACTGCACAATTTTCGGCTGTCCAAGACGAAAAATTGGCATCGTGAAACAATTGTGGCGATTTCTGTGATCGTGGCTTTTAAACGGTGGTCTTATGTCGTACAGTGAGAGGTTCAAAGACAAGGATAGCCTATGATCATTTTCTGACAGTGTCAGTGTGTTTGCTACTACGACCCATGTTTACTGACCAGCCAATAAAAATGCAACATGAAATAGCGTGTTGATCAACGCGACATGGCACCTAAACTTAAAACTGCTTGCCTCAAACTCTTTTCCCTTCCTATTTCGCAGCTTCCTCTTTGTTTTCAGCACACATAAAAAGTACAACTGCCAAACTGTGATTCGTCATGCTTTTTTTGTTTACCACTCGCGCATGCTGATGACGTTTTATTCTTCAATAGTAACTTGCGTCGTAGCCTACAAGTCACTAGGTGTCATTATCGTATAGTCTGCATACAAGTCGTACCTAAGTTTATTAGATCCATGTCGCACAGTGTCTTACACACTGTCTCCGCACACCGAGTCCGAATTTTTCGTCCTAAATTTTCGCACGTTGAAAAATAAATACGACCTCACGTTGTGTCAATCACTTTTACACACTGCCTCCGAAACTTTCGTCTGTCATAAAAAAATTCGGACCAGGTTCTATTTTCTGTGTTTTCACATCCGTAGCAAGCATTTTGATAGCAAAGGATGACGAATAGGTAAAAAACGCATACGAAAATTTCGGACTCAGTGTGCAAGGACCTTCAAGAGGACTAAATGATTGGAGAAGCCCTGCATACAACACCAGAGAGAACTCTCTCATTTCAGCAAAAGATCGAGTTCTGATATTTACAGGAGGTCAAAAACATTTAAAAATTAAAACTAATATTTATTTCCTTCCTTTTAAGTGATAGACATGTGTGACAACAAACAGAAATGATTACCTGGTCGAATGAAGATGTTCTCTACTGAGAGCATCGCGGCCACAGGCAGCATTACGTCTTCACACCCGAGAGCGGCAGCTTTGAGCAAAGCACGAGTAAGATTAGGAGGCAGAGGAAACTCCACCATCAACCTCCCCAGCCTGGTCACGTCACCCCTCCTGCAACAAAAAGCCCATATTAGCACTTTAATTAAGATCACAGAACTGACACAGTGAACTGTACACACTATGTGCCATTATTGATATGTAATGTGAATATCAGCAGGACCGGGGGCAAGATGTGCTTCTGGAAAAATGCAGCTGGCAGTATTCTACAGTATTCTCAGCGGTTTTCTTACATAACAGGCAACAGTTTGTGGAACGCATATCACTCACCTGTCAATAGCATCATACTGATACAGCTGTTTCAGAGCGGTCAGGATAAACCGTTCCTCTGGACTGTCCAGGTAAGGAAATCTGAATAAAAGAAAAAAGTGTTCAAATTGAAATTATTAACAAACCGATTAAACAATCCAAAAATAACAATGCAGCCTATACAATGCAGCAATACCTAATCACATCATGGATACCGAGACATTTCAGTGTGAGAATGACAGATGTTAGACTGGTCCGCTGAATCTCTGGAATGGTGTACTCAAGCATGCATGTGTCCCAGAAGTCTTTATTGTAAATCCTGAAGCATTTTCCTGCAGAGGTTCGTCCAGCCCTGCCTGCTCTCTGCTGAGCCTCGCTCCTGTGTGGAAACATCATCAGAACTTTTATTAAAATAGAATAAATGAGGAAACAAATGGAATTGTTTTCTTATTGTTTGGATAAACTAGTTAATTTCTCACTAAACAGCATAGCATAGGTAGCATAACACACTCACTTTGATCACAATATTCATGGCTACAAAAAATTTAATATAT